CGGAGGGCCCGCAGGGAGGGGAGGGACGGGAAGCCAGGCAGTCTGACCTGGAAACTCCTTGCTCACCCTCCCCACTCGTAAGAAGGCAGAGTGACGCTGCCATGTAGGCACAGCGTGAATGCTGGCCTGTGATCCTCCGCCCAGGGCCGTTCCTCCCCGCAGGCCCTCCAGCCTCCACCTGGCCCTTCCCTCTGTTCAGCCCTGTGGGTAAGCATTTAGTTCCTTGGCTTCTGCACTAGGCCTGGAGCTCACAGTAGACAGGCACGTGTACGTGGAAAGAACACGCAGGCAGGCAGCCAGCCCCCTCACTCGCCCCGTGATTTCCAGCACCTTTCTGAACCTGATTTTCCACTCAGGCCCAGTGGAGCTGAGCAGGCCTGTGACGAGGGGTTGTTTTAAGGGGTGAGGGACACACGTGCCGCTCGGTAGATGCCAGCTCTCTCTGGCCTTTGAGAAGAAGGCATGCCTCTTGCATACCCTGTCGCCCCTGCCCTTGGGACCTCGTGAGCTCTCGGGGAAAATATATTGGTTCAATGCATGCAGTGCCCGCAGAAGGAATTTTTCACCCTTGTCGGTTGTTAAGGGCATTTCAAGCAGAGGAGTCCCGTTTCTGGCAGTCCTGGACAGGAAAGAGCGGGTCCAGGAGGTGTCCCTCGTGGATGCTGGCGCCGGTGCAGGTGAGGTCTGTACCTGTCAGGGCAACGCTGGGGATCGGGAAGCCGCAGCCGCCGGCAGAGGGCGCCCCGGGCCCGCTGCGCTTGTGACGCTGGGGTTGGGGTGCTAGCGGGACGCGGGGCACGGGCGGCAGTCCAGCATTGGCCGCAGCCCTGGATGTGCCCGCGATCCCGGCGGAGCGCGAAGTGAGCGCGAAGTGAGTGCACGGGCCGGGCGCGCCGGTGCGCGGAGCCCTGCCCGCGTGCGGTGAGTACAGGCGCCCGCGGGGACTTCTCACCCGAGTTAGGGACACCTGGAGGCACGCAGGTCGGACGGAAGAGAGCTGGCCTAGTGGCTGGCATGCGTGGGACAGTGGGCAGGGTCTCCGTTCGCGTTGGTGTTTGGGAAGGGCTTGGGGTCAACCCCAAGAGGCGCTGGCTGTCGGGACGAGCTTTGCTTTCAGGCGACTCGGACTTACCTGAGGTTCTAACATCGGGATTTGTCTCGCGGGCCCCGTCGCGTGCTGTCCAATTGTCTGGGGGCCTTGGGGTTGGCCGAGTCACCGGGCGGGCGAGCGCTCTCCGGGGCGTCCCCCACCCTTGTCACCAGCAGCACCACCCAGGGGAACCACGTGCGGCTGTCACCCGCAACTCTTCCTGTCAAGCGGAGCCCGCCCCCAGGGCAGGGGAGGGGACGCGGGGGCGGGGTGGGCTGTGCCCCGCGGGAACCGGGCCGGTCTGTGAGCCGGGGCAAGCGCAGCTCTCTCTGCTTCGTGTCCCCAGCGGCTCTTGGGAGGTAGCGGGCATTGCCGCAGGAAGGCGCAGGGCCCTGCCGGGAGGGGCCAGTGGCCGCCCAAGGGGCCCTGGGCGCTGGGAGTAGGGAAGCACAGGAAGGAGGCTGCCCAAGTGACTTACGGAGGTGCCCTCTCCTGAGGCGGCGCCGAGCTACCGGGAGCCCTTTTCCCAAGTCTTCCCCGCCTTGAACCATCTCTAACCCTTCGAGGCAGTGGGGCAGCGCCGGCCCTCTGGGAGCCTGGCCCGGGATTGTCCCCCAAACCCGCCGGAGCTATTTTTGCGCAAGAGCCTAACCCCGGGTGCGCGCGCGGGGCAGGACTCAGGCGCGCCGCCTGGGCGTTGTGCAGCTGCGTCGCCTCACGAAGCCCGCTCTCCGAGCTCCAGAGGCTTTGAGAGAGACAACCCCAAGGCAAGGTAGGTGGCTCGGACGGAGTTGCATCGGGCTTGACATGAGTAAACATGCAATCTGCTCGTCTTGGCGACCTTTGCTTTCTCTTTGCTTTCAGGGCGTTTGGGGAGCTGCTGTGGAGCCAGGGGTTTGGAGGAGCGAGGCATATGTATTTTCAGCTGCGCCTCAGCTCCGAAATGTGACAATTGACTAGCTCGACAGAGGCTTCCAGGGTCTTGGCTTGATACTTTAGAATATGCTACCGAGCCAGTGCTTTCCGTGGGGAATTGAAGGGCCAGCTGGTCGCAGCCACCGTGACCTGGAGCAAGGGAGTCAGAAGACAGTTACAGAAAGCAAGAGAGACCTTCCACGGGGCTGCCTTGGGTTGCTGCTGCAGGTTCCTGCCACACAGCTGCTGCTGCAGCCCTCCGATGGAATGCTGCTGAGGACCTCCCCGCAGGGCATCAAGTGGGGCTGTGCAAAGGGCCGCCTGGTGAGTGAGGACTGAGCCCTGACCTCTGCTGGGGAACTCGAGGGCTGCCAGAGCCCCCTATGCGCCCTCCCTCGGGAAGATGAGGACTCTGAACACCTCTACCATGGACAGGGCCGGGCTGGTGGTGCAGAGGGACTTCTCCTTCCGTGTCCTCACAGCCTGTTTCCTGTCACTGCTCATCCTGTCCACCCTCCTGGGAAACACGCTCGTCTGTGCCGCTGTCATCAGGTTCCGGCACCTGCGTTCCAAGGTGACCAACTTCTTCGTCATCTCCTTGGCCGTCTCGGATCTCTTGGTGGCTGTCTTGGTCATGCCCTGGAAAGCTGTGGCCGAGATCGCCGGCTTCTGGCCCTTTGGGTCCTTCTGTAACATCTGGGTGGCCTTTGACATCATGTGCTCCACGGCGTCCATCCTCAACCTGTGTGTGATCAGTGTGGACAGGTACTGGGCCATCTCTAGCCCCTTCCGGTATGAGAGGAAGATGACCCCTAAGGCAGCCTTCATTCTGATCAGTGTGGCATGGACTCTGTCTGTGCTCATCTCCTTCATCCCAGTGCAGCTCAGCTGGCACAAGGCGAAACCCACGAGCCCCTCTGAGGGGAACGCCACTTCCCTGGGTGAGGCCCCGGACAACTGTGATTCCAGCCTGAGCAGGACATATGCCATCTCATCCTCCCTGATAAGCTTTTACATCCCCGTGGCCATCATGATTGTCACCTACACCAGGATCTATAGGATCGCCCAGAAACAGATACGGCGCATTTCGGCCCTGGAGAGGGCAGCCGTCCACGCCAAGAATTGCCAGACCACTGCAGGGAATGGAAATCCCGTGGAGTGTTCTCAGCCGGAAAGCTCCTTTAAGATGTCCTTCAAAAGGGAGACGAAGGTTCTGAAGACGCTGTCCGTGATCATGGGGGTGTTCGTGTGCTGCTGGCTCCCTTTCTTCATCTTGAACTGCATGGTGCCCTTCTGTGGGTCTGGGGAGACCAAGCCGTTCTGCATCGATTCCATCACCTTTGATGTGTTTGTGTGGTTTGGGTGGGCTAATTCCTCCTTGAACCCCATCATTTATGCCTTTAATGCTGATTTTCGGAAGGCATTTTCAACCCTCTTAGGGTGCTACAGACTTTGCCCTACGTCGCATAACGCCATAGAGACCGTTAGCATCAATAACAACGGGGGCGTGGCGTTTTCCAGCCATCACGAGCCTCGGGGCTCCATCTCCAAGGACTGCAACCTGGTGTACCTGATCCCACACACCATGGGCTCCTCCGAGGACCTGAAGAAGGAGGAGGCAGGTGGCATAGCCAAGCCCTTGGAGAAGCTGTCCCCGGCCCTGTCTGTCATTTTGGACTATGACACTGATGTCTCCCTAGAAAAGATCCAGCCCATCACACAATACGGACAGCACCCAACCTGAACTCTGAGATGAGTCCTGCCAGCCATACTCACCCCAGAAGCTAGAGGAGATCTTTCTGGGGCTTGCCGCTAAGACACTAAGGTGTGGTGAGACGCCCAGATGTCGGGCGAGCCCTTCTCTGCTGCTTTCCCTCAACACACAACTAACTCTGTTCGCAAATCCATCCCGTGTGTTTCCTGTGTTGTGCATGGTGACTCAGAGAGGCACACATGTGAGGTGTGTACAAGGGACATGTCTGGGGCTCCAAGGTTATTTTTAGAAACCAATTCTTAGGACTTGAAAAATAGGGCAAACAATCAACAGTGAACAGCTTCACTTAACACGTAAGCCTTTCTGGGAAGGGAAGGAGGAGGGTTGAGTTTGCTGTGTACAAACAGGTGCTAACACTGGTCCAAGCAAAGTTTTCAGATTGTAAAGGTAGGTGCATGCCTTCATAAATTATTTCTAAAAAAATAATTGAGCCTTACAGGACGGAGAGGGTTGGTTTTTCAGACTTGAGAGATGCTTCTTGGATATTAGGTTTATTTATCTATTGTATTATATGGATATTTTTAATTTATTATAATGAATCTATATTTATCGTATTTAATAGGATAAACCAATGAGTTATCTGAGACTTTGCCGTCACATTTTTGTCCATGTAACTAGCTCTTTATAAGCCAATGAAACAAAACACACAGACTCTGAGATTCTAAATGCTCATGTATAACTTCCAGATACGCAGCAGAGATGGATAGGAAATGAAGCTGTGACTATTCCTTAAGATTCATTGGCATAAATAAAGATGAGGTGAGAACTGACAAATGCTGTGAATGTTTTTTTTTTTCTTCCTAAAATGATTTTGGAAAACTTTTAAAAGCACAGCTACTGTTGCAGTCAGACTTTTTAAAATGACCGCCACTTCCTAGGAGAATGACTGGCAGGTCTGTAAATATCCTAAAGAAAAGCCAGCTTAAGAAGACGCCAGCTGAAATGTGTGACCTTAGACGGTAATAACAAGTAAATGCCACTTTGTATTTGTGTGCAATAGCTGGGCCCCTGCGTCTTTCTTCATTTCATGTGTCAGATAGCTTTTCGGAGCCAGACAAATGGCTGTCCTGGTGAGGTGCGTGTGGTGGACACGGTGGCTTTCCTTAATTCTCGCACCACAACAGTCTCACCAGTGGACAAAGGTCAAATCCTGCGCCTCCATCTTGCCAGGTCAAACCAAGCCGAGGCTACTTTTGTAGTGCTTCACCTGAACTGAGAACTGATTTTCATAAAAGTCTAAATGTTAGTGGTATACTGACGAATGAGTAGCGCCTCCGTGTCATCCTTGAGGAAGGCACCTCTGTTGGAAAAAACAGGAGAGCCCTTCTCTTCGGGTGTGGTAAGCACCCCAAAGCCATCAGAATCTCTGACTAGTGCTGACCCTGTCTGTGCTTTGGAATCACCTTCCTATATCATCACCCAGACTGTAAAAAGTACCATAACCTCCCCCTTCGAGATGCTAATTCATGCGGGGCATTTCAAGAGAATTCCTTAGAAATGTTGACAGAGTTGTCTTGTGAGTAAGCAGTCGGCTTAATACTTAGATGAAATGGATAGCCAGAAAGGGACCTGCTGGGAGGCATCTCCTGCGTCAGGTCTGTGTCGCTTCTGCATTTGAGTGTTTCCTTAACTTGATTGCCTGTATTGCTTTCTCACATATAATAAAATTATTTTGTGAACTCGAATCCACCCTGAATGAACTGTGTTGCATTTGTTTGTTTTAAAAAAAAAAAAAACCATGAAGATATTTCAGACCCACCAGTAAGAAAACGGCATTTTCAAGGCTAATATCACTTTTCTTCTTCTTAGTGGAACTTTCTCCTGTGACGGCTGCCACGTGTTGCCTTTGAATATCGAAACAGGAAAATGGTTTTGATTTGGGCTATGCACGCTTGTTTTCCTTCTGTCTTAAAGACTTTTTTTTCCAACCCTCTTTACTTGAGGAATTACTCTACTTTTCATTTCATGGATTTGAAAGATTCCTCAACTCTGCTTTTTAGTTCAAAGAGCCCAGGGACTTTAAATAATGTAAACATTACAGAAAAGACGGCGTGCTATGGGGTTGTTTTAGACTCAGTTTAGGGCAGCCAGTGTGAGTGTGAGTGTGTGTGTGTGTGTGTGTGTGTGTGTGTGTGTGTGTGTGTGTGGTTTGTTTTGAGAGTGAAATAGAACAGGAATTTTTTTTTTGCAGAAAATATACAGGCTGTAATACTGGGCTTATCAAAATGTCTTCCAGGGCACATCCATCGAACCTGCTTAGTTAATGTGCTAACCCCCTCACCCCCACCCCTGATTTTTATTCAGAAGAATGTCTGAACAGCAGGTAATGTAGAAATTAAGGGTTAAGTTTATAATTTGGAACATCACACAACAGATGGTGTCTTTTTAAATTCTGTGTTTGCCATCCCCAGGATTAGGCATGTAATGAACATATCTAGAATGAATACCCATGAAGCATGATGCCTCTTCTTTCTGCCTCATGACTTTCTGGGTATCTTTATTCTTCACGGTTTAATTTTGTTCCAGCCACACCAGCTATAATGTTCAGGGTTGTCACTGTCCAACCAGGGACACATGGCACAAAAGCTTTCACCCTATGTCTTGCTGGTAAAGAGTGAAAAATAGATGATATACCTGGAAATCATATCAAATAATCATAAAATTCAGTATGCCGTGGACAGGGTTGTACTTTGGGTTCCTAGCATGTTGGATTGCTAAAGGGTATCTTACAAAATGTTAATCTTCCTGAAAGAATCTTTCAGAGAATTTTGTTTACTGCCATAAAAACAGAATGACAGTCTGACTTTCATTTCATTTTTCACTAGAGTGACGAGCCTTCATAATGCTAAATATCTGTGCAACGCTTAGCAAGACAGAGACCTTTTAAACGAGATGTTCTTTTTCTCTCTCCAGCGAAGAGGATGTCTTTCCTGGTCACATAGATGCAGAACTCTTACTGGTAAAGGCACAATAAGTCTTTGAGAAGGGAGCCTGACCACTGGGCTTCAACCCGTAGGCTTGGAGTGGCTTCAGTCACTGGTTTCTCTTGGGGTCTAAGTAAGTCCCAATCTCTGAGGCTCAGTTGTTCAGCTCCATTCAATGGGAGGAACAAAACCTCTATATTCACTTCCTCAGGGAGGCGTCACCCCAAAAAGGAAATCATAGGGAGCCCAACCCCAGGAACTTTCTGAATTCTCCCTCCCTGGGGGCTCTATCATCATTCCCCCCTCCACCCCCAGGCCTGCACCAGTAGCATTTCAGCTTGATCCTTCCACCCCCAGGAGCCAGTCCACGTGTGGGGACCTGGAACGCAGAAAGCACAGGCTTTGTTTTAGACAGATGTGGGTTCACCATGCAGCTACCACTTTCAAGCTGTGTGAGAGTCAACGAGTGTCTGTGCCTCTCTGAGCCTGTTGACCCATTTGCGAAATGGAAAGAAATGTGCAGGTTCTTGCGAGGGTTTAAATGAAGCTGATATCTGTAAGGGCACGAGCCCGGAGCTGCTGGGCTCGCCAATGCTTGGCAGGATCTCTTTTCTGAAGGAGATGATGACTTCATATCCATTGCCTTAGTCATAATGACACTGCTGTGCATTTGGTTTCTCACATGTTTACCTGAAGCAAATGGAAATGAATTTTAGAGTTTGGGATTCTCCCAGACACCATATTCAGTGGCTGTGGTTATCTGGTATCCCAGCAGCAAGTGGCTTTTCATATCTGTGTGGTTATGACAATTGACTTAATTTACCACTAGAGACTGACTCAATAAATCTGTGCTTTCATCTATGAAATCTACTTACCCTGCGGAATTTGTTTCAGGAATAATGAGGTGATGGCTGGCCAGCTCTGAGCTGTTAAAACTGGGACCTGTAGCTCTACGGTTTAGTGGTCGTTTGAGGGAACGCACCCAGTGGAGGATGAGATTGTAGCCTTATATAGGTTAGATGCACCTCTGTGAATTCTTTGAGATTTCCTGGATAGGAGCATAGCGTATCAACCTGTTTTGTTTTTTTCTATAAAGAACCGAAGGGCTGATGAGCCTTACAGCACAGAGAAGATGTTGTTACCAGGCCAACCTGGTCATGTCGCCTTCTGTCATGTTAAGTAACTTCCATGTGATGAACAGAATTTTGAAAAAGCGACATTTGGTCTTGAGTCTGTTACATCGTTCAAGATTTGGGGATTGTAATTTAAATAGTATTAGAGGCTCAAGAATAAACTCTGATTTAAAAGGGTTTAACTTTTTAATCACTATGAGAAAATGTATGCAACCAGTTAAATTTTTCCTCGTGCTCGTAGAATACCAGCTCTCAAAATTGGTGTTTTCAGCCACTGAAGAGGACCTTCCCTGAGCTGTGTCCTCAGAGGGGAGCCCACCTCCCGTGCCTCCAACAGCAGAAATGCCAGCCCGCAAAGTGGCAGGTGGTACTGGGTCCTAGCAGGACTCCATTGTACAGCAGAGTTTCTTATTTCATTAAAATGTTTTCCTAAAAGATAAATAGCTTGGATAAACCACATTGCTTGAAAATAAGTTTTTTCATCTCTACAATAAGGGGGTTAGAAGAGATGATTTAAAAAAAATTTTTTTTGGCTTGACAGTACTACATATGAGATTTGTTATGGACAAAACCAGAGCCTGATAGGTTTCCCCTGAGAGTCTCCAGTCTCCATTCCCTTTGCTGTGAGAAAGTGAGAAGACTGATATTTATAAAATGCAAGTAGGCCTGTGTTAGGCCCTTGTGTAACATTCTTCAGCGACTCCCAAATACTTCCAGGAATGAAAAAACCAAGTTCGTGCAAGGTCCTGTATGATCAGGCCCCGCGATCTTGCTCCTTAGATGACGGGCACGGTGAGAGCAAAGCCATCTGTGTTGTTTCCCTCTCTATCTGTTCCTACACTCAGCACAAGGCCGGGCTTATAGGAGTTGCTCATTCAACCTTTGTTGCATGAATGAGAGAATTAACAGGTCAAACCAGGGAAGGCTGGGGCTTATTTTTGGGGTGGTAGGTGTGTGTGTAGGTCTGCTAGGCTCCCGCTAACACCTTTAGACACAAGCTCCACATGGTGTGTGAGGCCTGCTGTTCCCTGGGGTCAGACACGGCTGTGCAGGGGTCATTGTGTGCGCGGCGCGCGCGCACACACACACACACACACACACACACACACACGTGCTTATGTATATCATCGATGCCATTTGTAATCAGTTACCTCTCGTGAGCACGTTCTAGGATTCAGGCCATGCGCTGCCTGCTAGAAATGAATCAGACACTATATTTCAAAGGTAAAGTGGATAAAGAAAGAAAATGTTTTCTTCCAGGTAATGACAATAACAGCACCGTTCTGTTGAGTCCCAGGAACCCTCTCCTTGGCATCGTGCCACGTTCTGCCTACTCATTATTCCATTTTCACAGCCATCCTGTGAGGTGAGCACCATTATTATCATCCCCACTTGACAGATCAAACTCATGGATCTTCAGAGAAAGCATGTCATGTGTCCAAGGTCACACAGCTAGTGAACGATGGGGCAGGTTTGAATCTAGGCCTGTCTGACTTCGAAGCTTGTTCTTTTGGTCATGAACCTGTTGTGTTTACCAGGAACTAGTCCAAACCAAGTGAGCGAGTAACTTGTTAAGGGGGGTGGATGCAGATTGCCTCAAATATTGGCGAATTCAAAATTCTCTTTATTATTGACAGTTTCAAGCATATACAAAAGTAGATAATAAACCCTTGTGTACCCATCCCATCACCCAGGTTCAAACATCAGATTAAAGCTGATAGTCTTTGAGCAATGACAATGGCAGGCCTGAGTCTTTGGATAGAGCACAAGGTGGAAGCCAAGAAGACACTTATTTTTCCAAAACATGACCCTGCGGGGTTCAAAGAGAAAAGAATGGGGAGATGGCTTGTTCAAAGGTTGAAATGCTCCATGTTTGGGATCAATTTGATTAGGGCACACTTCCTCGGTTTAATGCAGCGAATGTTTATCTACAGCCACCTGGTGCCCAGCGCTGCTTTGGGAAGGGTGCGGGGAGCGGGGAAGAGACGGGGCAGGATAGGGAAGATGCTTAGCCAGGAGGGGTGAGGGAATGGGGCGCAGGCTGGGAAGGAAGTGGCATGCACATGGTTTTGAGGGGTGGACTGGAGTTTGGCAGAAACAGACGGGACATGAGAACAGTTGAGGTAGGAAATCTATTGATAGTACCCGCAAAGGTGGGGCTGGGGAGCAGGTGCTGGGTGGGGTTTCTGGGTACAGGACATGGAGGAGAGATGAATTTAAACTCAGTAGAAGGTTTGGGTCACATGAAGTCGAACAGGCTGCCAAGTTCCTTTGGGGGCAATGTCACCCTCTGCAGGGGCCCCTTTCAGCGCATCTGGATAATGAGACAGTAAGGGGTCATCGTGGGGCGTGAAGAGGAACCCCTTCCTTACTCACACCCTGGCTGCAGCCCGGCCCCTGTGTGCTGCTCTCCAAGGGGCTCTGGTGGTGCCCTTTTGCTCTTCTTCCCGTTGGGACACCTCCCTCCTCTGTCTTCACCTGTTTGAGCCTCATCCCAGGCGTCAGCCTCACTGGGAATCCTTTTGGACCCGTCCTTCCCCAGCTGGAGGCCACCTGCAGGGCGTGCGTCCTATCCTGCGCCACCCGTGTCTCCTGTTTCTCGGGGGTGTCCT